GGGCTGCCACATCTCCGGCGGGAGGTCGTCAATATGCAGCAGTGTCAGCTCGAGACAATGCAAGCGCTTCAGTCACTACACCGACACTGTAACATCCATGTCGATATGTAGGCAGCAAGGGACCAAGTCAAGGTCCAGTGGAGCAGCGCCGTTTCTATGATGCCAGGACAGTGTCGGCAAACCACGAGTCAGTGGAGCAGCAACTTTCTCAAAGCAAGGTGCTACCACCCATCCGTTATGGACGTGTGCTGTCAGGACAGGCGCCGAGTCTGCAACCAGTCCAGAAGACTGCAAGAAGATCGCTTTCTCGCGCCGTGCATCAGTTACTGTACGTCAGTGTGCTGTGCTCGGCACTCAAAACCTCGAAGTCGGCAAGGACGGCGCGTGGAAGTAGCTGATGCGCGCCAGACATTTACAACGGCGGGTGCTGTGGCTTGATAGTGTAACGGAGCTGCGTCCGTCTGCAGCAGTGAGCTGGTGACTCGTTATGCATTAAGCACCCAAGAACGGTTAAGGCACGGTGGTCTTCCTCAATAAGCGCAGGTCTCGGCTATTCTGATTAAAGCAATTGCACGAACGAGACGATGTCGGTATTTAATGGGCTTTGGTCTAGAAGAAAATGCAAGGCGTCAGGCTAGACGTGGATCGCAGATTACCGTTTTAAGCTTGCCAATATTGCTTTTTTCGACAGTACAGAAAATCCTGGAATCAAGATCGTTCCAAAACACGCTGAGCTAGTCGGAGACGCCTGCTGAGCAAGATCAAGTCTCGCAGGCACGGCCGCTGCAAGTCGCACGTGTACCTCACGCCACCTGGGTTTGCTGAAGTGTGTGGCGTGGGCCCGCCAGTGGTGATTTTAGGCTAAACGCCCCGACCATGTGTTCGTGCCTGTTAACAAAACATATCAGGCACTGCCCGCTTGCTTTTAGAATGGTCGACCGCCAAACTTTTGCAGCTCTTGCACGATGACGTAGGTGTTGGCAGCACTGGTGACCCTGCCGAAGTGTGTGGCTTGGGCCGGCCAGCTCCAGCAATGAATCAATGTGTTGTTTGTTGCTGATTGGGATACTTGCTTTAGTGGTAATTTTGCAGGTTGAAGGGCGTTAGGCGTTGTCCGTACTGAAAAGTGTACTACGAATCCAGCATTAAGATGGTCGTCTATTATAGGTAGTTTGAACACATTCACTGCTATTTTATCATATTATAACTTACACTATTGCTCACGTGACAACTGCCTAGGCGTCTCTCAATATTCGGTATCAAGCTAAACGCTGACTGCAATTGGAGTGAGTTCAACGTCTTAGAATTTCATGCGGATAATCCACAAAGAGCGGTGGTCGCTACCTGTACTTAAGTTTATCTCGATTTTGAGGACCAAAAGCGTGTTGCAGATGCTACAAGCGGGGCCTTCGATCTTAAATGGAAGTATAATGTGAATGACTCTGTCATGTTCATCATCAACTCATACCTCTACATAGCTACCACCTGCCGTACCATCCGTCATCCGTATATTTGTCGCTGATTACGATCCAGCTGCAGCTGTTTGCTGCCTTCAGCCGTAGCTACAAGCATGCCAATCCACTTGTTGCAGCTACTCCAACCAAGTGTGCCAAGTTGACCTTGCCACATTTGACCCACTCTCACTTTCATATTTGCTTCGCTTCACCAACATCGACGACCGACGTCAACTTCTCAAGTGCTGCAGCGACCATTTCCTCCAACGCGACCTCACTCTGCAGAGTCTGCTCGTCAGAAGATGAACAGCGTAGCCCAGATCTCACGTAGTGCACTCGGACATCGCCAAGAAGAAGGAATCCAGCCGGCTTCGACAGCATCAAGAGCTACAGAGAACGAAGCGAGGACGACACGGAGCACAGCGTACTAGCCCACGATAGTACCATGCGTCTCCGTCTAAAGAGAAGCATCGCCCTGTATCTAGAGAGTAGACTCGAAAGCTCCAGACATCAATTGCTGCTGCGTGTACTCCCACAGCACCAGAGGTCCGCTCACGTGCACATTCAGTGAGCGTACCAGTCCAAACTGGGGGATTTCCACACAAACGTCGACAAGCTGCAGCACTTCGACCGGGATCCCTTCCTTCTCTCGTCCCAACGCCAGCACCATCTCAGTGTCAGACCTCGATCTTCGACTCAGCAGTGCCACCCAACGAGACAGCAAGATGCGATGACCAAGTCGACTTCTTCGACAAAGATCTGCGCACTCTCCAAGCTCTTCGGACCCGAAGTGAGCAACGCCACACTGCAGACCTTCCCAGAGCACTGGGGAATAACTCGGAGGAGGTTCTGCAGGAGGTTCTCTATCGCCACCCTCAACTAGAAGACTGCTGACTGTACGTGCTTATCCTTCTTGGACCGACCAGCCTCAGGAGCCGCATCGTACGGTGAGAAGTAAGGTTGTGCTGCCGTACCGCTCCCTGCTGCGCTATTCTGCGTCTGTTGCGTCTCCTTTGAGAACTTGAACGCGGTTCGTGTCGGCGGTGGCGAAGGAGGTTGGAAAACCTTTGACTGCGAGTGATCATGAGGCGTCGTAGGCTGACTCAGAGTCGGCAGGGACGTCTGTCTCCCGACAATACCGGAACTCGATTTCGGTCGCTCGGAGACGTTCGCTGAGCCCCCAGGTCGGTTCGTATTCCCTCCGTTCAGCACCTTCTCGATCGTCTTGGAAGCTTGATGCCATTTCTTGGTGATCTTGACGTTCTCCATCGTCCGCATGATGAGATCTCGCTGGATCTTGGTCCGAATGGCGAGCTGTTTACGACGCGTCACGAGCGATTCCTTCTCGTTCAGCATGTGCTGCGTACGTGCCTCCGTGTCCTGTAGTCTCCGCAACATCTCCAGTCGTTGATACTCTTGCACCCTCTTCATCCGCTCGACCTTATCCGCCTTGAGCTGTGCCTGCAGCTTCCGGTACTCACTCCGCAGAGCTCGTTGCTGTTCCTGGCTTCTCTGCACTTGTTGCACATTGCGCTCGGTTTCCCGTTGACGTTCCAGCAGCTCTTGTCTCCTCCGAGCTTCTTCTCGTCGAGTCTCCTCCAGCACCAACTGCCGTTTCTTCTCCAACGCCAACTGCTGCTGTGTCTGCAGCTCTCGTGAACGTCGCTCCTCTTCCTCATGAGCTCGTCGAACCGCCTCACGAGCAGCTTGTTTACGTTGAATTTCTCGCTTTCGTTGCGCCTCCAGCTTCTTCGACGCACGAAGATTCTTTTGGATCCGTTGCGTCACTTCCCGACGTCTTGTATCCATCGCCGTCGCCCGTTCGGCTCGCTGCAGCTCCACCATTTCCTCACGAGCTTTCTCGGCCAAGTCGAGCTCCTTGAGTCTTGTCTGGATCTCCGTCTGCTGAGCTCGAAGCAGAGCTTCGGTCTGAGCTCGGTGCTCTTCCGCCTTTATCTTTCGCTCTTCCTCTCGCTCTCTGGCTTCCAGGCGACGTACTTTATCTTGTCGAGCCTTTTCTTCGGCCAGTGCGCGGTCGGGAGCAGCCAACTGTGTAGCCATCTCCTTGCGTCGCTCTTCTTCGGCATCCAGTTGCGTTTTCTTCTTGATCTCTCGAGCTCGTTTCTCGACTGCCAACTCCTGCGCGAAGCGTAAACGAAGAACGCTCCATGGCTTCGTGCTGTCGCTTCTCGCGCTCCATCTTGTCGGCTGCTTTCTTGTTGCAGTCGGCTCATCTTCATCTCGAACTCGAGCATTGTGTTCCAGCTCGCGCTCTTGTCGTTGTCGCACTTTTTCGAGTCGTTGTCGCTCGATATTCAGCAGGGACGAGGAATTCTTCGTGGCCGGCGAGCCCGACGAGCTTGACGGTAGCCCGTTGGCACTATGAGAACCTCGTTTGGGGCCTGAAATGGCTACAAGACGCGACGGGATGACACCGCCTCGATCCTCCGCCTCGAGCAGCTTCCGCTTTTCAGCTCGTAGAGTCTGCATCTCCTCGTGTCTGCGTAGTGAATACGCTTCGTGGCGCATACGCTGCACGGCAGTCGTGACGTCTGGATCGTAAAAGGAATCCAAGTCGCGGATTTTGAGGGTTTCTGGATTCACCCCACAGCGTAAACAAGCTTCTGCTGATCGAGGTGTCAGTATGATACGCTCTGGAGGAGGATTGAGTCCCGACGACCGAGCATTGCTGAGCGTCGCAAACACTTCTTCAATCGCCTGAGCTCTCGGTCCACGTCGCTTTCGGATTTTCGTCTTCTTGGGCTCTTTATCGTCCTGTTTGCGGTCTCCAGTGGTGATTTCTTCAAGATTTAAGTGCATCTTGCTCGCGTTGTTAGTGCCCCGAGATTGCAGCATGACGCGCTCAAACGCTAGTAGCTGCAGGACGCATCCTGCCCTTACCGTCGACCGACACGCTTGACTTGTGCTGGAGTGGGCGAATGGTAGAGTGAGAGACGACACTGAGAGAGCGCCGGAGTGATCGCACCTCGTTAAATGGATACTGCTGAGAAACGTAGAGCCATTACGAACTTCAATAATGGTTTCATAATGGGTGCCAATGATTATTACGAACCTCAAACGAGAGGCTGCCAGTCATTCGGCAACCGCAAAACAATGGGCGCCAACAAGAACTATAGCGAATCAATAGAAGGCAGAGCAGCAAAGCGATGCATCATTACATACAAACGATTGAAGTGCAGCACGGCTGGACAGTCAAAATGCATTGGATCAGGTGAAGATATGCAAGTTGTAGATAAGGTTTAAAATTATTGAGATAAAACAGTGTAATGTGTATTTTAATGCGAACCAACATAACTGTTTGTAGTCGATACGGAAAGTAGGTCTCATAACACAGCGCTTCTGATTGTCAGAGACCCGCCGACAGCATCATCTTCATGTCCGATGTGGAGCTTTCGATCGTTCATGGGGGTGGGGCCATATCACCATGCACGTGCGGGCTAACCCGTCCTGTTTTTAAAACATGTGTACTTTTGTGCTTGCCAACTTTGCGTGGTACTCGTACCACTATGCCCCTCTCAGGTAGTAATTGTACCAGTGGCATTTGTGCGAGAAGGAGAGGCACACAGCGATAAACAACAGAGCTCATGCTTGGTGTCATTGGTGCTCTTGGTATGAGTGCCCATCTCTATGATAACAATGTGTTTCCCCATCATGTCGAGCAATACATGTACTTTACAGTTGCTTCATGAGATGTAGTTTGTACTAGCTACCGGTACGTGATCCAGTCAATACGTCGTACTACATGTATGTGCCAAAACGGAAGTAATGTTAGGTAGCCTAGTCTTCAAGACTTTTGGCCTTGTGATGCGAGGTGCATGTGCGTCATAATGAAGACAGTGTACGCAGCAAACGTCATTATCATCGTTAAGTTTATTATAATTGATCCTTTAAAGCTATGCGCTCAATTTCATCAAGATCCTTATTGCTCTTCAAAGCGTATCCGAAATTTTGTTGCAGCAGATAATTTTGCTCATATGTCTCACATTTTGTTAATGAGTTATTATTGACTTCTACAAAAAGGACGTCCTCTCCCCCCGTCGAGTGCTTCACTGGCAGCTACAGGACCAACGAGCAGCCGCAAGCTGCGGTAGCGACGAGAGCTGAGCCCGGGCCAGACCTTCTACTTACTGACAGCACGAGCTCTGCCGCCCTGCAGCGTTCAATCGCATTCTGCAATTTCCGGCGTCGAGATAAAGTCGGAGACGCTCGCTATTCACCCAAGCGCTTGCGCGATTGCGATGCTCACCCCAATCTTTACCTGGTGCGTGCAACACAACACCAACTGTACAGGAATTGAGCTAACCCTATCGCTTCCGAATGATCTCCTAGCCTATCGCTTCAATGTAGACACAGACCAGGCCATGTTCGCGTGTAAGGTACCATCGGGTCTACAAGAAGACGGCGGGTCACTCGTGGACAAGGAAGCGACCGCGCTACTTAGCGTTTACGGTGGCAAGTCCCGCTGAATAGTGACACCTTGCGCTATATAATCTTACAGGTTCGCCTTTGTCTACTAACGCGTCCTATCCGATCGGCCCAAATCAATGCCAAGATGTACTGCACGACAAACACGTCGGTCTAGCTCAAGTCGGCTGCCAGTCTGGTCCTGCGGCAACTATATCAAGCGCCTGCGAGAGTCACGGACAAGCAATCGGCTGTAGGACCAAGTGGGTACAGCTACCAGCAGCTCGTACAGCTCTGAAGGTGGCGGAGCCGATTTCGGTATCCAAGATCTTGGGCTGCCACATCTCCGGCGGGAGGTCGTCAATATGCAGCAGTGTCAGCTCGAGACAATGCAAGCGCTTCAGTCACTACACCGACACTGTAACATCCATGTCGATATGTAGGCAGCAAGGGACCAAGTCAAGGTCCAGTGGAGCAGCGCCGTTTCTATGATGCCAGGACAGTGTCGGCAAACCACGAGTCAGTGGAGCAGCAACTTTCTCAAAGCAAGGTGCTACCACCCATCCGTTATGGACGTGTGCTGTCAGGACAGGCGCCGAGTCTGCAACCAGTCCAGAAGACTGCAAGAAGATCGCTTTCTCGCGCCGTGCATCAGTTACTGTACGTCAGTGTGCTGTGCTCGGCACTCAAAACCTCGAAGTCGGCAAGGACGGCGCGTGGAAGTAGCTGATGCGCGCCAGACATTTACAACGGCGGGTGCTGTGGCTTGATAGTGTAACGGAGCTGCGTCCGTCTGCAGCAGTGAGCTGGTGACTCGTTATGCATTAAGCACCCAAGAACGGTTAAGGCACGGTGGTCTTCCTCAATAAGCGCAGGTCTCGGCTATTCTGATTAAAGCAATTGCACGAACGAGACGATGTCGGTATTTAATGGGCTTTGGTCTAGAAGAAAATGCAAGGCGTCAGGCTAGACGTGGATCGCAGATTACCGTTTTAAGCTTGCCAATATTGCTTTTTTCGACAGTACAGAAAATCCTGGAATCAAGATCGTTCCAAAACACGCTGAGCTTGTCGGAGACGCCTGCTGAGCAAGATCAAGTCTCGCAGGCACGGCCGCTGCAAGTCGCACGTGTACCTCACGCCACCTGGGTTTGCTGAAGTGTGTGGCGTGGGCCCGCCAGTGGTGATTTTAGGCTAAACGCCCCGACCATGTGTTCGTGCCTGTTAACAAAACATATCAGGCACTGCCCGCTTACTTTTACAATGGTCGACCGCCAAACTTGTGCAGCTCTTGCACGATGACGTAGGTGTTGGCAACACTGGTGACCCTGCCGAAGTGTGTGGCTTGGGCCGGCCAGCTCCAGCAATGAATCAATGTGTTGTTTGTTGCTGATTGGGATACTTGCTTTAGTGGTAATTTTGCGGGTTGAAGGGCGTAGGCGTTGTCCGTACTGAAAAGTGTACTACGAATCCAGCATTAAGATGGTCGTCTATTATAGGTAGTTTGAACACATTCACTGCTATTTTATCATATTATAACTTACACTATTGCTCACGTGACAACTGCCTAGGCGTCTCTCAATATTCGGTATCAAGCTAAACGCTGACTGCAATTGGAGTGAGTTCAACGTCTTAGAATTTCATGCGGATAATCCACAAAGAGCGGTGGTCGCTACCTGTACTTAAGTTTATCTCGATTTTGAGGACCAAAAGCGTGTTGCAGATGCTACAAGCGGGGCCTTCGATCTTAAATGGAAGTATAATGTGAATGACTCTGTCATGTTCATCATCAACTCATACCTCTACATAGCTACCACGTGCCGTACCATCCGTCATCCGTATATTTGTCGCTGATTACGATCCAGCTGCAGCTGTTTGCTGCCTTCAGCCGTAGCTACAAGCATGCCAATCCACTTGTTGCAGCTACTCCAACCAAGTGTGCCAAGTTGACCTTGCCACATTTGACCCACTCTCACTTTCATATTTGCTTCGCTTCACCAACATCGACGACCGACGTCAACTTCTCAAGTGCTGCAGCGACCATTTCCTCCAACGCGACCTCACTCTTCAGAGTCTGCTCGTCAGAAGATGAACAGCGTAGCCCAGATCTCACGTAGTGCACTCGGACATCGCCAAGAAGAAGGAATCCAGCCGGCTTCGACAGCATCAAGAGCTACAGAGAACGAAGCGAGGACGACACGGAGCACAGCGTACTAGCCCACGATAGTACCATGCGTCTCCGTCTAAAGAGAAGCATCGCCCTGTATCTAGAGAGTAGACTCGAAAGCTCCAGACATCAATTGCTGCTGCGTGTACTCCCACAGCACCAGAGGTCCGCTCACGTGCACATTCAGTGAGCGTACCAGTCCAAACTGGGGGATTTCCACACAAACGTCGACAAGCTGCAGCACTTCGACCGGGATCCCTTCCTTCTCTCGTCCCAACGCCAGCACCATCTCAGTGTCAGACCTCGATCTTCGACTCAGCAGTGCCACCCAACGAGACAGCAAGATGCGATGACCAAGTCGACTTCTTCGACAAAGATCTGCGCACTCTCCAAGCTCTTCGGACCCGAAGTGAGCAACGCCACACTGCAGACCTTCCCAGAGCACTGGGGAATAGCTCGGAGGAGGTTCTGCAGGAGGTTCTCTATCGCCACCCTCAACTAGAAGACTGCTGACTGTACGTGCTTATCCTTCTTGGACCGACCAGCCTCAGGAGCCGCATCGTACGGTGAGAAGTAAGGTTGTGCTGCCGTACCGCTCCCTGCTGCACTATTCTGCGTCTGTTGCGTCTCCTTTGAGAACTTGAACGCGGTTCGTGTCGGCGGTGGCGAAGGAGGTTGGAAAACCTTTGACTGCGAGTGATTATGAGGCGTCGTAGGCTGACTCAGAGTCGGCAGGGACGTCTGTCTCCCGACAATACCGGAACTCGATTTTGGTCGCTCGGAGACGTTCGCTGAGCCCCCAGGTCGGTTCGTATTCCCTCCGTTGAGCACCTTCTCGATCGTCTTGGAGGCTTGATGCCATTTCTTGGTGATCTTGACGTTCTCCATCGTCCGCATGATGAGATCTCGCTGGATCTTGGTCTGAATGGCGAGCTGTTTACGACGCGTCACGAGCGATTCCTTCTCGTTCAGCATGTGCTGCGTACGTGCCTCCGTGTCCTGTAGTCTCCGCAGCATCTCCAGTCGTTGATACTCTTGCACCCTCTTCATCCGCGCGACCTTATCCGCCTTGAGTTGTGCCTGCAGCTTCCGGTACTCACTCCGCAGAGCTCGTTGCTGTTCCTGGCTTCTCTGCACTTGTTGCACATTGCGCTCGGTTTCCCGCTGACGTTCCAGCAGCTCTTGTCTCCTCTGAGCTTCTTCTCGTCGAGTCTCCTCCAGCACCAACTGCCGTTTCTTCTCCAACGCCAACTGCTGCTGTGTCTGCAGCTCTCGTGAACGTCGCTCCTCTTCCTCATGAGCTCGTCGAACCGCCTCACTAGCAGCTTGTTACGTTGAATC